GAGTATCGATAAGTGCACTCTTTATTGACGACTACCATATAGCCCCACCTGTCTAGGCCATGCTCAAGACTAAGGAAATGTGAAACCAATAATGTTAGAAAAGGCATATGTTAACTTTTTAATATTTTTCGGTTAGAATCGAAAAAGTTATAAAAAATATAACATTTTCGGTTACCAAAATTGAGAATATTATAAAAGAATATGTGCAACCGAGAATATTATGAAAAAGTTAATATTTTAAATTCCGTACAACCTAAAATATTATAATATTTTTAACATTTTATATTATGTCTTCCCTCAACCTTAAATTACATGCCTGTTCCATAGAATTCCCCCTTTTCCTTGTTGGCATAAGACTACTGTGTGAAAAAAAATGATCAATGAAGAGACCACATGTTTGAAAAAAAGTAGTGGGCTTTTCCTTAGATTTAGTACTTTCTGAACCATCTTAACAAAAATTGAGCTTTACACTGAAAGCTTCGAGCATGATTTCTGAGTCATGATTATGATTTGACTCGCTCCACTCTTACCAAATCTAAAATTAATGATTATGATTTTTTTAATTAATTACTCTTATCTTATCTATCAATCGATTAAATCAAATTCAATATTACAGATTTTCTCAATTCAGTTTATTCTATTCGTAAACGTCATAATTCGTTAATAATTTGAACCAATTATTATACTTTATTTTCATTCTTTTGTTCTCTTCTTATGAATGTGAGGAATTAACCCAAACCGTCAACAATATTAAAAACCCGACTTAAATCCGTTAAAAATTTGAAGTAATTCCCACACTAACAAAACTAACTTTGTTAACACCTTATACCATTAATTATTGATTTAATAACTATAAAAAAGATAAAATAATTTTATCTGTCAAAACATGAATCTTCAACCTTATTAGCAGTAGAAAGTCTTACGTGCGGCAACCTAATATAAGATTAAGAAAATGCGCTATTAGTTTTGTTATTATTTTTTTAACAAAATCGGTAAAAAATTACCGGAAACATTATTATTTCTACAGGAAATATTATTATTGGGCGTTTTACCGGGTTTGATAATATATTTAAAAGAAAAAAAATATTTTAGGTAGAACTTTACCGGATATATTATCAAGCTCGGTAAAACGCCTAATAATATTTCTGGTAGAAATAATAATGTTTTAGGTAATTTTTATCAGAAATGATAGAAAAAAATAATAATAAAATATGTAATATATTTATTTAACCGTATATTAAGACTGTCGTACGATATAACTTTCGGTATCAGCAGCCCCAAAGTTTTGACAAAAGAGGTTTCAAAGCCATCAAACCCAAAGAATATTTTAATTGGCTCCTTCAGACTTTCCGACATTTTGTCTCAACTTCACTCTCTCCTTTCAAGTTTTGCCATATTCGATGAACGACGGCTACCAATTTGATGCATGCGGGTCACGTTTTACTGGGTATCATTGAATAAAGGTTTAATATAAAAATTGATCCCTAAACTATATTACTTTTTCTATTTAGGCATTTCGGAAGTGATACCCAACTTTATTGATTTAATTTTTTGATTCGATAATATAATTAATTTAATTTCTTAATTTTAGGATTTTTTTCTTTCAAAAACTCAATTTTCTTTTTAAAATAATTAAAGGCTTTATATATTTTTCGACCAAAAAATAAACATTTAAATGAAAAAGTACAATTTAGGGGTTAATTTTTGATATAATGTCAAAAATATTTCTAACGTTTGACTAAATAGTCATTTTTTATCCTTATTTTTTGGAGTATTTTGCATCAATAATTTATTTTGAGGCAAAAATGCCCCTATGTGTAGGGACGGAGCCATGATTGAACTCTGAGGGGGACAAGTTGTTTAACTTTGCAATAAACATGATCTTTAAAATTGAATAAATCGTACACATTCTGATTTAATTCACTAATTTTGAAATTGAAGGGTCTTAAAGCGTAATTAAACCAAAAAAATTAGAACTCATAATTCCATTTTAAAACTAAAAGGGTCCTAAAGTATAATTAAACCAATGAATTTGGGATGGATAATGGCATAATTGTAAGTCCATGCCTGTACTTAACAAACTGTTAATTCTCTAAAATAACAACCTATTAACCCTAAAATGAGACATTAAAGGCTAAAATACTCTAAAAAAATAAAAGTCAAAATGACTATTTAATTAAATGTTAGGAGACTAATTTCGATATTATGTCTTGATTATTATACTTACTATATGTGTGTGTGTTTAAATTGGTCCTTAAACTTTTGAATATTCTAATTTGATCTCAAACTATAATTCTCATTCTAAATTTATCCTTAAACTTTTGAATATTTTAATTCCATCCCCAAACCATGATCTTAATTCTAAATTGATCCCCAAACTTTTGAATATTCTAATTCCATCCCAAATTCATCCAAATATGGAATTAGTTTCAGCAATAATTTAACCTATTTTTTTCAACCATATAATAATATAGCTTGGTTGAACTATTTTATTAACAAGGGATGTGGTTAATATATACGTATAGTTTGGGATGAATTTGGAATGTTCAAAAAGTTTGGGGACTAATTTAGAATAAAGATCGTAGTTTAGGAATGAAATTGAAATGTTCAAAATTTTGAGGACTAATTTAGAATGATAGTCATAGTTTAGGGATGAAATTAAAACATTTAAAAGTTAATTACTAATTAAGAATGAATGCCATACTTTGAGAACATATGATGTAATTAACTCTCTCTCTCTTTCCATTTATATATATTATAGGTTAGGATCTACTTACACCGTTAATCTTAACGTTTAACTTTTCTCATCCAATGATCCTAAAGGGATGCAATTTATATATATAAGGATATGATCCAATTACATTGTGTAAAACTAAAAGATTTTTATATCTTTTTAAGACCGTTGGATGAAAGAGATTAAAAACTGAAATTAACTGTGTAAGAGGATATTAACCCATAATATATATATATATATATATATAAATTCTATTATTTAATCATTTCGTAAACTCTTACGATTAACCATTTCAATTTGGTTATTTTTTTATTTCCTCTTTTAAATAATATAATTATTGCTTTTCAAGCCACATTTCGCTTTGTCTTTCTCTGCCTTAAACTATCAATGTGCAGTAAATCCAAGTGGAAATGACATCATTATTGACTTAATCAAGCTTTCGGCTAATATTTTAACAACAAATTCAAATAAGTTTAAAAAGCTAAAAATAAAATATTAAATTGTTAAATTATGTCATTAGTTCTTGTATTATGTACAAATTATAAATTTGATATTTGTATTTTAGTTTTATCAATTTTAGTCTTATACTTACAATTTATGAGATTTCATTCTTGACTCAAGTAATGCAAGGACAAGGATAATATAATTAAATCATATAAACTTTAAAATTAATTGGATAACAGAAACTAAATTTATAATTTAGCTATAATAAAAAGATTGATAATGTAATTTAAATATATTTTACAACTATCATTTATATTAGAACCAAAATTTTAACATCTGAGAAAATATAGAAACTAAAAATAACCAAATTAGAGTTCCATAGTTCATGGGATGATACAAGATTTTATCGATAATATTAACTGTTGAGGGATCTTTCGATTGCGTGGGCAGTCAGAATCTTCGATAACTTGAGAGGTATTATACTCCAAGTGTGTTTGGGGTAATTTTAATCTTAGGATTTTCTCTATAGATCCTTAGGAAGGGCTTAGGAGTGCCATGACTGAGAGTATGATACGTATATATTGAGGCTGTTATACGGTTAGGTCTACGTGGCAAGAAGAGTTGCTTAAGATAACCATTAGACTAAGGAGATTATTCTATTTAGCAGTTATGGTACTTGCATACTTGGCTTTGTACGTTGTATATAAAACCATGTGTACTTTCTTCTGTGATATACAACTGGTGTTTACTGTGTTCTTTCGTTTTCTTGATATTCCATCCGTATATCATGTTGTGCTTATCGTGACTTTCCTCAAGTGCCGGGTTACCGTGTGTGAACCAAATTGAAGAGGTTAGAGAGTTGGACGATTAAATTGGAGAAATTGAAGAACTTGGAGGATGATTAGGAAAATTGGAAAACAAATGTCGAAGTGGTCCTCCAAATTCTCCAAACCCTTTAATTGGATCCATATAAAACGAGCTTGACAATCGAGGAACTCTTCAGACTCTTACATATTACTCCATCCGTCCCATAAAACTGTCATACTGATTTTTAAAAAGTCAATTTTTTTTACTTTGACCTTGATTAATTTAAATATTTTAATTTTATAAAATATATTTGAAAACTACTCAATTATAAAATTTAAATAATAATTAGTCAAAATTTAAAAAAAATTGACAAAAAAATTAATAATTGACAGTTTTTATGGGACACAAAGAGTGGGAGACAATTTCAAAGCTTAAAATACATCGGACACTAAAAATATAAATATTTTTTATTATTAAGAAATTCGACCGATAAGACAAGGACATAGAATAAAAATGAATCTTCGTCTTATATATTTATTCATTAAAATAATTAATCTTCGTCTTATATAACAAAGATCAAGAATAAAAATGAAGTTAAGGACAGAGAAGATCAATTTTTTTATTAAATAATCTAAGTTTTTTCTATAATAAGACAACCCATCTTACCAAAGAGATCATAAAATGAGAAAATGATGTAAACTCTATGTAGTTTTTATATATTTTTAATTATTTAATTATATTTGAAATTTAATTGGATTGGAAATTCATTAAGTGATCTTAGTGCTTAACGGAAGTATTACTTTTTTAAAAGTTTCGAGTTCGAACAATTGTGTTTATAAGATGTGTGTGTTTTCAATAATTACGAAAGATACTCGAACCTAAGATATTTTAAAAGAATAACATCCTCATTTACCATTGATATAACTTGGAGAGTTTATTTTATTATTTTTAAATGAAAAGTTTTTGAAGTTGTTGGTTCAAAATTGGTATTATAACCAAGGTGGATTTAGATGTTCTTACAGGCCTAATTCACCCAGAAAAATTTAAGGCTAGTCGGTAAGCATATACAGCAAAACACCAAAACAGATCACAACTGTGTTTCCTTGTATTCTTTGTTTTCCTTTTTTTTTTTCATGTCCTCTGTCAAAAGTTGAGTTCTTGAAGGACTAGATGGAAATACAAAAGGGCAGTAGGCACCCATTAATAGATTTCTAAAGACAAGAGAAGTGGTATGTCTTACTCTTTGGTTCTTCCTTGTTTACTGCTCCCTGTCTATCATTTTGGCTATTTGAGTCTCCCCTCTGAAACAAAAAGAAAAAAAACCTGTAGTTTTTGTATCTTTTTTCTGTAGTTGAGATTCTCATTTATTCATTATTATTGTTGATCTTTTTGGAATTGAAATTTCATTCTCATGATGCAGACCAGTTCTGAATCTTGGGAAAGTTGTGGCCTTTTGAAGGTTCTTAATCCCCAGGGAAAGGTAGATGCTTTATGTTTTTTACTTCAATATCGTGTGGGTTTTTTTTACCTCAACTACATGCACACGATGTGATTGTAGGAATTCGTCAATGGAAGAAGATAGGTATCCTTGTTCAAGGCGAGGCAGTGGTGTGTGGAGATCATTGAGAGATGGGGATTTTGAGGAAGAAGATGTTTGGGCAGTTCTTAAAGAAAGAAAAGATTCAACTACCACCACCATCAAACTTGGCCGATCCATCGAAGAATCATCATCTGCTGTTACTGTTAGAAGACAGCTCCCAAGTGCTGCAAGGGTGATCCCTAGAACTTTCTCTGCCATTAAGAATGGTTCAAGTTCCAGTCATGAAGCTAATGGCGTCAAGCATCAGCAGCAATCAGCTCCCGTCAGAATTCCTGATTGGTCCAAGTTCTCTAGGAATAACAAGTCAAAGAAGGGATCATCACGGCATGACGACGACGACGACGAAGATGACGACGATCGTGATTTCGATGATGATGATGAAGAAGAATTCGATTCGAAATTGCCACCACATGAGTTTCTTGCAAAGAGGCAAGCAAGGAGTCAGATATCATCTTTCTCAGTGTTTGAAGGTGTTGGGAGGAAACTCAAAGGGAGGGATTTGAGGAAAGTGAGGAATGCTGTCTTAACAAAAACAGGTTTCCTTGAATGATGTTTAAGCATATATGTTAAGTCCTTCACATTGTTGTAATTTTCATAAATTGGTAAATGTTCAATTGTGGGGAGAGTTCTTCCTTTTGTTTTTCAGTGTTTGTATTTTGTTAGACTAGTGGTTTTGTATATAGGGATTTTCTTTTATTATTTTTATATTAAAGAAATATTTTCGTACTATAATTAATCGAGTAAGATAAGACATCAAATCTCTTAAGCAAAATTATAAATTCCAAAACTACTCTTTTCTCGATTTCAAGAAGCAAACTTTACACGTTTTGAAGAATAAAAGTTTATTATTCTTCATATTTCATATTTTCATTAGCCGGATCATATAATTAATACACTAAGCTTATTACATGTATATATACACATTCAAGTACACATATTGTGTGTTAGTTTGGTGAACACTTTTCCATGTTTCGAGTATCGAATACTATAAAGATCCAATCGTCTCGAGTGCGTATTCCGTTATTCACAACCCCGAATTGCCACCGAGCAATAGTGAAGCAATCTGTTGTTGTCTCAAAGGACTGTAGGAGACCTCTCACAATCGTCGAACCAATCGGGCATCGCCATCGACGAAGGAATATCCAGTAGCCCGGAGTAGTCTTCTTGTATAGCGATGATCTCTTGATCTGTTACTGTTTCTTCTTTTGCTATGAATCCCACATGTTTAAAAGAGGGGGAAAAAGGAATAGAAATAATCAAAGAAGAAATGGTGACATTAAAAATGTTCGGAATTCACCATAAAAGGTTGCTAAACAATGACAACCCCACTTAGATAATTGTGCATATTTTTACCATATTTGAACTTCAATTATTAATCCCTATCTAGCATTTCTAAATCTGTTTACCTGAAGCTAAAGCATCGGAGCTGGTACTGAATCCGGCCACACAGCTCTGCCTCCGCATGATATCGTCGTCGCCGGAGGCCAAAACCCGAGCCTCCTCCAGCATATCATCCAGCAAGCCACCTTCATTAAAAGGGATACTCAAAGTCTGATCATTATTGATGTAGCTACTATTCCCGTTGGTATCAAATGTAACATCTGAATTCCCGTCTAGGAAGAAAAATTGGTTTGAAGGGAGCTCGTTATTTGTTTTTGACGGATAAACGAATCCCGGGGTCAATATGAACTGTCCAGTATTGGCACGGTGTTGATCGTCAAGGATCCTTGAAGAGGAAGTAAGATCGAGTGTGATCGGATCCAATGAGTATGAAGGGGAAGAGTAGTGTGGAGATGTCAATGGAGTACTAGTATCAACCGTTGCTGCAACATTATGGGGATTGAAAAATGAATTCTTCTGCAAAGGAGGATATGGTAACATAAAGCTCGAACCGGTACTGCCACTGCCGCAACTTTCGCTTACATCGTGTTTGAACCGCTTGTATAGCATCGATATCTCGAGGAGAGGGGTTGCTCTAGGGAAGAAGAAATCGGAAGATATAGTATGATTGTTGTTATCACTGTTACCATAGTTAGCATTGATGCTACAAGTGTTTGATGTTGATGAATCAAAGACAGGGAGAGTTGAAAACAAAGGCTTATGGGGAGATTGCAATGGGGACACATGTGTCGAAGGTGAAGGTGTCGAGCCTCTGCCTGGACTCTGGAGGGGCGGCGGTGTCGAATGTGGATTATAGAGCATGTGAGACGACTCGGATCGTGGGATATGGAGAGGGTGCAATTGCATTGGCATAGAACCTTGGAGATTCGGTAATGACGATGGCATTGGGAGTTGGAAGGAGAACGAAGAGGTCATCGTCGTTGACGTGCCTGTCGGGGACGTAATTGGCGTCACCGGCAGCGAACGATGCTGATTTCGTTGGTATTGGGAATGTAAGGGTTGGATATCAGGAGGGTAGAGTGGAAGGCCTTGGCGTTGCCTTCTCTTAATCCTTGTGTTCCAATAGTTCTTGATTTCATTGTCTGTTCTTCCTGGAAGCTACATTGTATCAAAACGAAAGAAGTTAATAACGAATAAACTATAATATTTTCAAAGCTATTAATAAAAAATTGTTGGATTTTCTCGGAATGGCTGAGAAAATAGCTAGAAAATTAAAAAACTGAAACACCAAACAATCATATCATACTATACGTAGTAAATTGAACAGCTAAACATGTGATCCTGTCAAAGTTCTAAATGGAAATTGAAACAAAAACAAAACATAAACGTCATTGCAAGTTTAAATGATTAAAATTAGCATAAAATTATTGAAATTTACCCAGATTATGAACAAAACACAGACACTAAAGCTCATGCTGATACAACGAAAATGACAACTTTTAAAGCAAGAAATTAATAAAGACGATGAATAGAAAAACATTTTCCATGAAAGAAAATCAAAATTACACGTAAAATAAATGCTTTAGAAAAAGAAAATGAAGAAAAAAAGATAATCCTTTTCCGACGTATTAATTACCTGAGTAGCCATGCGAGCCCACTTGTTACCCATTTTAGCATGCAACTCAATAATTAACCTTTCTTCTTCAGGAGAAAAAGCTCCTTTTTTCAAGTTCGGCCTTAAATGGTTAGCCCATCGTAGCCTACAACTCTTCCCACAACGTGCCAACCCTGTGTTCGTTTGCACCGCATTCCAGTTCCCTTCACCGTGAGTCCTCACGTACTCGGCCAAAATCACATCCTCCGTCGCCGTCCACGGCCCTTTTTTCAAGATTGCACTGCCTTCCCCGTCGCCCTCGTTTTGTGCACAAACTTGGTTGTTTCCTCCCATCTTCATCATCTTCTTATCCCTCCCACGTTATACGATAATAATAAGAAAAGTTGAGACAAAAAAAAAAAAAAAGACAAAGAAATCAAGTCATTGTCCTTAGTACTATTGAAGGAACTCAATAACATAAGTCTGGGTCTTTTTTTTTGTTTGTTTTAAGGTTGTCTTGGCCGCTTTATCTTCCATTAAATGGAAGTTTACAACTTATTTGTTCTGGTTTCCCCCCATATTTTCCTTTTTACAGTGAGAAAATGGATTGTCAATTTGTCATGCCCTCGTAATAAAAAGGAAAAAGGATTTAAACATATATATAGTAATTTATTTCAACCTTCGAGGTGGATTTTTGCCGTCGGGTAATTTTTATGACAAGTCAAAATCAAAGGGGCTGTGATAGGGTTTTACCCTTTCTATGGGTCTTTTCACATTTAAAGAAGTAATATTTTTAAAATTATATGATACATTTTTAGCCATTATGATATCATTATATTTATAGTACTATTGGATTCTTATATACATTATACAAGACTAATCTTTGTAGTATACCTTTTCCATGTTTGGTACTTAAACATTTTTTATAATATATAAAATTATAAAATATAATTATTATTGTAATTGTCGAGACGGTATTTCGTCCGGCGAAAATAAATGTCGTTGCTTTCTAAATCTCGTCTCGAAAAAGTGAGTGTTTTTCTTCTGGTATAAGATAAAACACAATTTGTAGAGTCGCCAACAATCATTTTATTAAGGTGTGATTGATCACAAAAATGTTATGTTATTTTAATACAATTTACAAAAATAATATTAAAATAACACAAAAAGAGTATGCTTACTAGAAAATGAGTTCGGGAGTCGGTTACGTGTGGAGAAGGATTAGCACCCCCGCAACGCCCAAAATTGGTACCTTGTTTATTAATTAACGTCTTTGCAATAAATTAACAAATTTGTATTTAATTTCAATTTATGATCCCATAAAAATATTAAGGATATTATTTTATACCAACAAACTATTTAAAATAAATTCCTAATAAGTTAAGAAAATATTTTATAATTTATTGTATAAAATAAAATAACCCAAACACACATAATAAATTTAATTATTAAAAATAATAAAATTTTATGTTACTATTAATAAATACTTAATATGCAAAGTACTATAATAGTAAATAATTCTAAAAATAATATTTAAAATTATTATTTTAAAACTAAAGGATTAAAATTGTAAAATATCAAAATTAAAAATCCTAATTCTAAATATCATGAAATCTAGGTATTATTAGTGTAAATATTCCTAAAATATTATTTAAAATTAAAATATTAAATCTCAGTGATTAAATTGTAAAAATATATAAATTAATGGTCTTAATTCAAAATATTATAAAATATAATTACTAATAGTGTAATTTAACCCTAAATGACTATTCGGGATTAAAATATAAATAATTAAAATATTAAAGACTAAATATGTTATTTACCCTAAATATATTTAAATATGCGATTAATGATTAAAATAAAATAAAATCTAAAAACCAAATTATAATACACAAAAATCAATTCCAGTGACTAAATTGTAATGCATACAAAGTACAGGGACCACAAACATGATTTGTGCATTTAAGAAATTACACAGAAGCCCTTCCCCAAAACGACGTAGTTTTGAGGAGGATATAAATATGCCTTAAATGGTCTAAAATCCTCATTTTCTCTTATTTCTTTATTTTGCTTCTCTTCTCTAGAGAGAGAAGCTCTCCCTTCTCTCTAAACTCCCTCATCGGAGGGAGAGTCGGTCACCGGCCGACCACCTTCCGACCACCGCCGAGCACTATTCCGATCACTATTTCGGTCGCCGGTCACTATTCACGGTGGTCGAAAAAGATAAAAATACCTCAAAACGTAGATCGACTGTCCCTTGACCCGAATCTAAGCTTCTTTTTCGCTAAAAGCTAGTCAATCGGACTAGATCTGAGATTTTACCTTCGATAAAATCACTTTTCCGATGATGTTTGAGCTTCAACGGTGGTAAGATCTCTTCTCCTTTCTTTTGCTTCCTCTGTTCGTTTCTCTCAGTCGTCCGTTGCTTCTTTTTGCGTTCTTGTTGTTGTTCTTTCCTCCTTTTTTTTTGTAGGTTTTTCAAGGTTTTTTATAGGCATCGGAAGGCCTTGGACCACCGTTTATTTTGGTGAGTCACCGGATCTACTATGGTGACTCACCATAGGGAGCGAGGTGTGCGGCTCTCCTGCATCTTCTGGAGTCTTTTGTGCGGCGATGACGTCATGACGATGACAAGTTGGAGAAGATGTGGAAACCCTATAAGTATCTGAATCGGGTCTTGGGCCGGGTCTGGATCTGGGCCTCCGATTTTGTAAATGGGCTCCAAATTTATTTTGTAATAATAATAATAATATGATAGTCTCGGACGAAAATGATTGCCGACAGCTGCCCCTCTTTGTTTATTTTTGTGTTAACAAGAATAGAGCAAAGATAAAAAGACAATGAATTTTCGTCCAGTTGACTTCATGTTTTGATGGGAAATCCGTTCCATTCTTAATGGGAGATATTCAACTGGTATATGACATTGTTCCTTTATGATGAGAACGTTTAGCCATCTTTGAAGATATTTGAGATAACACGGTTCCTTTGTGATGAGGACGTCTGGTTATCTGAGGATGACTCGGCTCCTACGTGATGAGGAGTTCTGGTCAGTGGATGACATTGTTCCTTCGTGATGAGGACGTTTAGCCATCTTTAAAGATATTTGAGATAACACGGTTCCTTCGTGATGAGGACATCTGGCTATCTAAGAATGATGTTGCTCCTTCGTGATGAGGAGTTCTGATCGGTGGATGACATTGTTCCTTCGTGATGAGGACGTCTGGCCATCTTTAAAGATATTTGAGATAACATTATTCTTTCATGATGAGGACATCTGGCCATCTTTGAAGATATTTGAGATAACACTGTTCTTTCATGATGAGTACATCTGGTTATCTAAGAATGATGTTGCTCATTCGTGATGAGGAGTTCTGATCGGTGGATGCCATTTTTCCTTCGTGATGAGGAGTTCTGATCATCTTTGAAAATATTTGAGATAACACAGTTCATTCGTGATGAGGACGTCTGGCTGTCTAAGGATGATGTGACTCCTTCATGATGAGGAGTTCTGATTGGTAGATGACATTGTTCCTTCGTGATGAGGACATTTTGCCATCTTTAAGACATTTAGGATAACACGGTTCCTTCGTGATGAGGACATCTGGTTGTCTAAGGATGATGTGACTCCTTCTTGATGAAGAGTTCTGATTGGTAGATGACATTGTTCCTTCGTGATGAGGACATCTGGCCATCTTTAAAGATATTTGAGATAACACGGTTCCTTCGTTATGAGGACGTATGGCTATCTAAGGTTGATGTTGATGAACACGCTATCCTTCGTCGTGAAGTTAAAATCGTGGATGCATTGCTGTTGGTGGACACAATATCCTTCGTCGTGAAGTTGATATCGTGAATGACCCCTTCGTCGTGAAGTTTAGCCTAGAATTGGATATCATTCGCCGTGAAGTTGAAATCCAAGGGTTGCATTATTGTTGTTTCGAGTCCAATATCCTTTGCCGTGAAGTTGAAATTAGCTCTAGATGAAACTGGAAAGCCCATTCGCTGTGAAGTTGAGCTTTGAATTGGATATCCTTCGTTGTGAAGTTAAAATCCAATCTTTGGTTGTATTGATTTGAGTTCAATATCTTTCATTGTGAAGTTAAATTTGACTCTGAATGAAACTGAAAAGTTGTTTGTTGAGCCCAACATCCTTCGCTGTGAAGTTGAAATTGACTCTAAAAGTCTTATTTTATCTCTTGGGTGGTGTCTCATGCTTTGCTTGTTCCTGTATGTGGGATTTGAATTCTACCTTCCATTTGTAAGGTACTTTGTCCCTGCATCTTCATGTGAAAAATGTATTTATGCAAATGCAATCAAATGTAATGCATGATCTTTTATGCAAATAATGTTCTTATGAATGCAAAATGTTGATTCAATCTTCGTTTGACTTCAGAGTGACGAATTCAATCTTCTTCCACTTAATAATTCCTTTCCAGGGTTTCCTCCAAATATCAATGTAACAACTTATGCTATCAAGCTTGCATTTCTGAAGAACCATCTGATCAACTTGTATCTTTGTGTCTTCTTTGTCTCAATTTGCATTAAAGTCTCAGAAGAATGTTTCATTTACGGATCTCTTGCTGCAGTCAGAATTATGACCTCAGTGTCCCCATTTTGTCCTTGAACTTGTGTGAAATCCAATAAAGCTTTCATCTTTGAGAAGAGAATCTATCATCTTTGAAGAATGTAGATATTCCAAACTCCACAGAGATTAATTAGGAGAGCAGTGTCTATTCTGATTTGACTCTTGAAATACATCACAATGAGGATTTATCCTAATTCCTTTTATATATCCACATCTAATCGGATCTCATACAAGCCATTCAGACCATATCATGTTGAGACATTTATCCAACAACCCATCGTTCAATCTTAGTTGGTTCCACTAATTTCTTGAAAATTTCAATGCCTTTTTTTTCTGTGGAAAGCAATCTTCATAATTTCTCATTTTTATCCCTTGGAGTTGTAGCAGACGACCTTCATCTCGGATCAACAAATGGAAACAACATATGATCGCAACATTGGTTTAGCACCATAATCACTATTTCGTAACATTTGACAACACATTTATTCTTTCCTGTGACTTTTGCCCAAAATATTTTTGTCAGTGAAGCTCTTTGCATAGCGTTTGGAGCTTTTGTATGACGTTATTTAAGAACAAAGCTCAGTGAGACTACAAGTGGAATGCTTTAACTTCCAGTATCAAATCACCAGAATAACTGCTTGATGAACAAAACAATTATGTATAGTCAGCTCTATTGTCATTGTTCCACCATTTTCATTCTTCATACAAATTTTATCTCATTGGAAATATTTGCTCAATTCAATGATCTTGACACAAGATGATATGGGCTTTCAGTATG